GCAATTTCTTGAAGCATTCTTCCCTGACTTCTCTTTTGGATAATTATGACTTTCAGTATTTGTTCTAAACCAAATGTGCTGGTACCTGGATGCCACTATAATTCCAGAATTCTTGAGAACAGAATTTCTGAACATTCACCAAATGCATTTGGCAGTAAGCCCTGTGGAATGACATGGCAAAATTTTCTACTCATTCCACAGCCCAGAATCTGACAATGGGTTGATCGCTGCACTTTTTCCTTTCACTCTCTGTTACAGTTTCAGTTTTTCTGTATCTTGCTTATTTTGAGAACTTTTGAGTGCTTTCTTTAACAAAGTAGTATAAGAAAGCATCAGTAAACTGCAGAAGTCATTGATACGACTGATATGTATTTAGCCAAAAGATAGAAGAATGAATGGTCAACTTATAGGAGGTAGTATCTAGAGTTTACGAATATTGAATCATTATTAAAGACGTTGTAATTCCTCTTACAGATAAAATTTTGATATTCCTGAGAATATTAAGCAGGTATCGGATGAGTTGAAGTGCTTATAAACTTCTTTGTTTTCTACCTGCTGTTTCCAGCGCAAGCCTTCTCTGCTAGAAATGTCTCCTTATCTGTTTTTCTCTGTATATTACTTTTACTCAAATTGTAAAATGCAGGTTCTCCAAAGTCCTAAGCCTCGAGTTCTGATCAGAACCTCAAAGGGGAAGTTAACCTGCCAGTACATGCCATCCACTTGGCACACAGACTCAGGATCAGTGTGAGAAGTTACAAATCTCATAAATTTCAAGCACACACCCAGCATGACTAAAATCACCATTTTAAGCAGATGAACTACCCTTATCTAAATATATATATATACCCATGCACACATACACACAAGGGGACTTGCCAGTTTGTAGAAAAATGTAATTCAATGATAAAATTTTGAAATCCATGCTTAGTTTTTCTTAAGAACATTTTGAAAACCCCTTGTGTGTGTGTGTGTGTAAATATATATATAATATATTTTTTCATTGTTCTGTGAAAATTTCCCTAGAGAAGGGAGAGGTTCCAGGACTTTTTAGGTTTGTACATACTGCAGATTAGTTTCGAGACTAGCTTGTTTTAGAACTATAGTATCATTTCTGTGTAGACAGAAAAGTTTCTGCCCTCCTTCAGCCTTCTTTAAAGGAAAATACTGAAATACTGACAAGTTATGTGTTCAAATCTCTTCATTTTAGGGATGATATTGAGGTGCAAAGCATTAGGTACCTGGCCCAGGTCAGGAGACTTCTTTGTGTCCAGTGTTCCTTCTACCTTGCCTCTTCATATTTCCATGAAAATCTATACATCTGCATAGCTTTTGGTATGTATGTGTGCGGGTATGAGTCTGAAGCACCACAAAAAATGATGTGATGTCAATCAAGTTCAGAAAATTGATAATGAACAAAGAGGATGATGAGAAGTCTATACTCAAGCTGCAAGTCCAGAGTTCTACTTTACCTATATAAAAACCTGTAGGCTATGAAAGAGAAAGAATGGCTGCATGGATAATAAACATGTTCTCCTGCCAGTCAGTGGACACTTAATTCAAGATTAAGAGTACATTCACCACACCTAGGAAGGCTTCACTGAGATCCCAGGCTACCCTTGTTCAAAATGAATATGTTTTACCCAAGCAGAGAACTCTGACTCCTGGATCTCAGATACACTATGCAAATTTTAGATAGCTCAAGTATATGTAATCAACATTAATTGTTTAGTGTTTTTTAACTACTGTTTTTTAGGTAACTTATTCTAAAATTCTCCATCTAGTAGGAAATGTAGTAATCATCCATTATTTTCTGGGTCTAGTTAACCCTTTTAATTTTTTTAAAGATTATTTTATTTATTTGAAAGGCAGAGTAACAGAGAAAAAGGGAAAGAGGGAGAAAGGAGGGGAGGTAGACAATTTTCCATATGCTGGCTCACTTTCCATATGACAGCAATGGGCAGGCTGGGCGAGGCTGAAGTTAGGAGCCTGGAACTCCAAGTGGATCTCCCACATGGGTAACAGGGGCCCACATACTTGGGCCATTTCCCTGGCTTTCCTAGGTGTTTTAGCAGGGAGTTGGATGGAAAGAGGGGCAGCTGGGATTCGAAGTGATACTCCACTATGAGATGCCAGCATTGTAGGCTATGATTTAACCCGATGTGCTATGGCACTGGTCCCAACCCTTTTAATTTTTATTCTTTATATTTTAGTAATTTTATTAATGGGATGAATAATAATAAACAGAGAATGGAAGACATTTATAAGAAAAATTTAAAGGATTTTAAGCACAGTAAAGTCGAAATTTTGCTTTCCATTTTTGTGGTACATTTATTCAAGATGGGAAATATTGTTTGAATGCAATTAACTGCCCATGAACTATCATGTGATGTGAGACATATCTTATAAATATAATTTCAAACACATCTCTGATTCATAGATTGCAGCTTATCATTAGTTCTTATCATTCTTATCTTCAAAATGCAGTATTTGAAATAATTATGGAAAAATATATCAGAATGACAAAAGTTCCTTACACCAAAATTGCAGTCATTTTCATTTTTATATTTATAAGCACCAACTAGAATGACCAATTCAACATTTAAAATTCTTTATTGTGTATTTCCTTCCAATTACTTTAGATACGCACATGCTGTGAGCACTCATCCATTGATGAAGCACATCAATAAACTTTAGTGCACAGGAATTATTATAGTTGAAAGAATCCAGCCACATCTCATTTTATAAAAAATAGAATGATCAGGGTTTTGTTGTCAAACATTACATGGTAAAACTATTTTTATTGAATAGCTAACTGGATGTGAGTACCACATATCCTGTTTTATCCTTGTAATTATATTGCTTAAACCTTGGGCCTTGTGTTTGAAAAAAATTATCTAGGATATCACCACATTAAGACTTACTCTGAGATTTAACATAAGATGAATTTTGTCATCATCACAGGCTAAGGTGACACTGTCTTTATATATTCATCTTCCAACTTAAGTTTGAAATATTTTCCTCTATCAATTTCAATCTCTTTGTTAACTATGGAAAGAAAATGAAAAATTCTGAGTACAAATACATTGACTCCTATATTATTCTATACCTTCTTGAAAGATGATGTAATACTTATAGGCAACACTTTAATTTCTTCTATCTTTGTTTTTTCTTGTATCACAGGCAGAGTGGACAGTGAGAGAGAGAGACAGAGAGAGAAAGGTCTTCCTTTTTGCCGTTGGTTCACCCTCCAATGGCCGCCGCTGCAGCCGGCGCACCGCGCTGATCCTGGCAGGAGCCAGGAGCCAGGTGCTTTTTCCTGGTCTCCCATGGGGTGCAGGGCCCAAGCACCTGGGCCATCCTCCACTGCACTCCCTGGCCATAGCAGAGAGCTGGCCTGGAAGAGGGGCAACCGGGACAGAATCCGGCGCCCCAACCGGGACTAGAACCCGGTGTGCCGGCGCCGCAAGGTGGAGGATTAGCCTATTGAGCCACGGCGCCGGCTTTATAGGCAACACTTTAAAAACCTGAGTATCTATACAACAGCATATTCATTTCATCATCCTTATATAGGCTTCCTATTGTATCATCTTTCTAGACCAACTATCCAATAGAATTGCTTAGAAAGTCACTTGTAGAATTTTAAAATTTGTGTAGGCATGTAAATAAAAAGAAACCAGTAAAATTAAATAGATTTTTCATTAAAAATATTTTCAACATGTAATCAACATAAAAATTATCAGTGAGCTATTTTATATCATTTTTTCCCTAAGGCTCTAAAATCTGTTTTTTGTTCACTGAATGCACATCTAAATTTTGATTAGTCCTTTATAAATGTTCAGTAGTCTCATGTATCTAATGACTACCCCATTGGACAGCCAAGCTTAATGTAATCCCATCATTGTTTCTTTTTTTAAAAATGGTATTTAATTTATTTATTTTAATGGAAGATGGAAAGACCGAGTGAGAGAGAAAGAGAGATCTTCCATATGCTGGTACACTGCCCAAGTGTCTGCAATAGTTAGGGTTGGCATAGGCTGAAGCTGGAAGACAGGAACTCAATCCAGCTCTGCTATATGAATGGCAGGAACTCAAGCACTTGAGCCATTTTCAGCTGCCTCCCGGGTGTGCAGTTGCAGGAAGCTGGAATCAGGAATGGAGCTGGGACTTCAACTCAGGCAGTTTGATATGGGATACAGGTGTCGAAAGTGGCATAGTCTATGACTTAGTCTACGATGCAACAGTGCTACCCCTAGTCATTTCATTTCGAGAGATCCATTACCTAGATCTGAAAGGCAAAAATAGAAGTCTTTTTGTACCCATAGTTTAAGCTGCTTCTGCCTTGCTATCTTCATAACTAGGAAAACAAAATGCTATCTTTCAATACCAGGGATTGTATATGCTATCTTCTAAAGTCGTTTATAATTCTAAGGTATTACAATGTTTTCACATCATCTGATGTTAGCCCATAAAAGAATGAATCACTTCTTTAATAAAAATCATTAAACCATTTTGATAGAGTAGATATTTTATTGACTAAATGGATGTACGTAATTGAAAGGTAATATTCAACACAGGGTTTAAAAGAGAATGACCTAGTCAGAATCTAGCATCTGCCTTGTGTTCCCACAGACAATGAGGGCAATTTGCATTGCATTCCCACAATGATGAGAAGGCCAAAACTGAGCACCATGGGAAGGTCACAAAGCTAGACACTAGGGATACCTGTAGTCTGGTCCGTATCTGAAAGCAAACTCTTTCTGATCCCATTAAATACTGTATTAAATATGTGAGTGACTCATGTAACAAATGAAGAGGACTTCTTCATCTTTTTTGTTTCATAGATCAGCTAAAACAAGATTATTAATGCTATGATAAAAAAAGAAACATGTCTCTTTCAATGTCACTTCTTTGCCTACAAGATGTAAATTAGACCAAAAGAAGGGAAGAATGGACAAAGAGTTACGCACACAAACACACACACAGACACAAGCACAGCAACACAATTTCTCAATGCATTTTTATTTTTTAAATTTTATTGCATGTCTTGGTAAACATAAATGGCTTCAAGATTTGCCTCTGGCTCATCAAAAGCCTTTAACACAAAATACCAAAAGACAAGCAACTGAAGCTTAAAAAAAAAAGCATCACATCTATAAGAAAGAACCTTTGAAAAACATTAATAAGGCATATAAAACTTCTGACATTTGCTTAATTTTTGTAGTTATAAAAATAATTAAAAAAACCCACATCTCTTTAACATTCAATATCCCACATACTGTATTTTAGGGCAATACCAAGAAAATGAAAAGTAAATTTATTTGAAGAAAATTCTGCTCTCCATTTCTGTTTATAATCACCTCCAAAGAAAAAAACAACCCATTCTTCAGCTAATCACATTGAGCTGAGGCCACAAGAACCCTATTAAGTTCTGCCTCGGTTGCCTGTCCTTTATATATTTTCATCTCTTATCCTGGCTACTCAAACACTCAAGGAGTATGAACTGCTTCCCAGATAGTTGTGCCCAGTTTTGGCTAATGCCAAACTCTTGAGATACAGTACAGGGATTTCTGAGTCCCTTGTGCCACCTACATAGTGCTGAAATAGTTCAGAAGTCCTAGGTTTATTCAAACACTCAGGACAGTAAAGGAAACCATTTGTCCCCCTAACATTACCAAGACACAGCTTTCATTTTTCCCTTAATGGGTTTACAAAGCTGCACGCTTGCTCCAGAAATTAACTGTGCTTATTCTCATTTAAGCACAATAAAATGTTGAAATCAAGGACTCATTCTTTTTAACGTACAAAATAAAAAAAATACAAAACAACTTTCCCTCCCCTCCCCCCCGCTTCTTACAAGTGTGGTATTATTTCTTATTTGGCATCGTATTCTTACTAAATGGTATTTCCATGAAAATATAAAAACAATACAAAAAGTTTCAATTGTGGTTCTGGAAAACCCACTATCCCTAGGAAAAAATGAATCAAAACACAAAGTATGTTTCATACACAAAATATATATACACTTTTCAGAGAAAACTCATACATTACATTTTAGAGCCAAATTAGCCCTTTTGCACTTTAAAATAAAAATGGAAACTTATGTGCAATGATAGCCCTTTACCAGAATGCATGGGAAGAGTTTAGAGCTCATTAGCATATATACAAAATATTTAATATTTTGAAAAACAAATATTTGTTATAAAGCATGTTTTCAAAAGCCCTAGGGGGAATATTGTCATATACATGTTTTCCCAAAGTTTGCGAACAATTCTGTTTACATGGCTGCAGGAAGAGCTTCCACTGAAGGCTGATTCTTGATCTATGGAAGCATTTTTATATCTGTGCACAGTCCTGAAGGGAGAGGGACAGGATACTGGGTGCTCACAGTTGTTGATCAAAAAAGAAAAATGATACAGTGATGCAACCAATGCTACAGGAAAACTGATCTCTTAATTTCGTATCTTCCAAATCACTTTCCTACTTTAAATCTTGAAGAGAGAAAGGTAAACAAGTGTAGGCATGCAGTTATACTGACAGAAGTGTCTTTAAAAGAAACAGATACTAAGTAATATTGTCTTTATTTTGGAAGAACTTTCAGGAGCATCAAGTTCATTGAGACATCTTACTCTTTAGTAGAGATTCATTTTTTTCTGGATGAATCCTATTTTTCCTGGATATTCTCAGTAGACATTAAAACTTGTAAGAACTACAAAGATGGTGTCTATGCCAATTGAGTCAACCTGAACTCTACCAAAAAATAGTCATTGTGTATGAATTAGTGAAACTAGTAGCAAAATTGGGTCTTAAGGTTTCTGTTACAGTAGAAAAGCATTCCCAATAAATACTAAGATATCTCATGCTAAATTTGAGGGCATTACTGGTAAATCCAGATACATGATAGCAGATGTTTTGAACTTGTTGCCATGGACCTTTTAAGAACTTTAGCCATGGTCCACATTCCTCAATCCTACCCAAAAGCAAGAGAGAATGTGATTCTTTAGTGTGTGACTGTGTGAACATGGACATTTTTTTGTAAATGCACTAAACAGCATCAAAGTGAACAAACATTATTGGAAAGGATATTGGTAACGTAAAATACACAAATGTAGAAAATCGTGTACATATATACAGTCTCAACCACTTAACAAACAATGATAAATACAACTGGATCTAGTCAAGGGTTTGATATGGTATGTGTTTAGCATTCAAGGAACTTAAGGGATCTATATGCATTATTACTCCTGTGTGCCAAGCTGTAGATACCTGTTACCATATAGGATACCCCTTGAGAGAAGGGAAGTATAGATAAGTCATCCAAAAATAAGTAAATAAAAAAAAGTAAGTGCAACTCAATTTCCTTTCCTTTAAATTACATTTTAAACAACACTCAATGCCCCTACCCAAAAATATATACTGCATATTTATATATATATATATATATAGTCTTAGACTATAAGGGTGAAAATGCTTTATAAAAGTCAATGAGAGATCTCTGCAGCTTAAGGAGACACCCACTGCTTTTTTGCTCATGTCTACCTAGCCAAGACAGCTCAGTCCAGCAAGCAATAGTTTTGAAGGCTTAAAGCCAGAATCGGAATCAGACGCCAGGTCAGATGCTGGCTAAGAGGCAGCCTCTTCTCTTTCCCTTAGGAAACCAGACTGAGATGAGGGAGAGGAGGAGCTAGGGAGATTGCTTTGGTGATCTAGGAGAAGAGCCCTGTAGGGGGTAGACAGAGCTCAGGAAGAGCCCACGTAAAGGAGCTCATTCCCCTTCCTCCTTGATGCGCTGCTGCTTGTTGCGTCGGGCATCCATGTCGAAGTTGAAGTCATTCCACTCATCACGGGGTGGGAAGGAGATGGTCTGGCGGAGAGTGAAGCGCACAGCATCAATAACGCGCTCGCCTCGGGTCTCACTGGAGCCCACACTGACCGTAGAGGCACCACTGGGGGTCCGCAGGAGATGGGGAGGTGAGGAAAAGTCGTGCAGCTGCCGGTGGTCCAGGATGCCCTTCCAGATGGCATGTCGGAATTGCTCAGGGATCTTCAGACTTGCCAAATCCTGCATGACATGGAAGGGATTCAGGCAGACGTAGAACAGACAGACATTTACTCCATACCATTTTTTTATTCTCTAGTGCTCTCATTTATCTGAAAAATTTTATCTTTAAATTAGAAAATAAAATTAACTTTCTGATAGGTGTCAGTGCTACCTGTAACTAAGCACTAGGGCACAGCCTTGAGGTGCCGTCTCTGCTTCTGGATAACACTCCATTGATTCTCTACGAGCCTCAGTTTCTTCACTGACAAAATAGAGCTCATAATTAGATGAGTGTACAAAATTCCAAGCCATAAACATAAGACCCTTTCTAACCCTTAAATCTACCTGGTTCTAGATACTAGAAGAAATGTATTCATGGAATGTTGCCCCCACTGAGTGAGGAGATGAGCAAGAAAGGTTACTTATGGAGATTCAGCACTGCCCACATGCCAGGCACTGAACTAATTACTTTCTGTTCGTGGGCTCATTTATGTTCGTACCCTCAGATTAGCAGTATTCATGTTATGTAGACAGAGAAACTAAAGTTCAGAGAAGCTGACATGTACGAAGTTAAACAACTGAAAGAATAAACAGGACACAGGAAAGCCTCTCAGCCTAAAACTGACCTACTGACCCATGGGCCAAAAGGTCTCTTGGTGTTTGGATAAACCAAGATATCAAAAGGCAGAGCAATTGTGTCCACATTAGGGTAGCAGACATCACAGGTAGGACTGATTTTAACTAACCTTGGTAGCATCTCAATGATAGCTTACATTTTTTATGCAACATCCTAATAAACAGGGAGCACACTGTTCTTGGAGTAAGAAAATATATGGCTTAAGTTCTTATTGCCACCAACCAGCTATAGAATTTTCGCAGTTCTGGCCTGTGTCTTCATTAGTAAAATGGGTATATTTTATTTTTAAGCCAACATATATTGTGGACTTAAATGTAAATGTAGCTATGAAAATACTATAAAGCATACTTTATAAGAATTTAGATATGTTAAGAATTTATATATTATTAACTCTTTGCATCCTATGGGGATGCTAAAGAAAACTTCTAAATTTAACCATACTCCTTTTCCAGGAAGAGATGTCAAATAACTAGATGGGTGCTAATAGATAAGCAGAAAAGAAGATGTCTGTTCCAGAAATCTACAGGAGAAAACTGAGGTGAAGGTGGGGAATCTGTACAGCCTCTCAACTCTTCCTAACACAGAGTCAGAATTTCCTAGTGGTGTCAATTTTCAGGCCATAGGAGTTTCTCCAATTTCCTTTTACAGCAGAAGAATACAATAAAAAGAAGGTAAACTACAAATAGAGAAGTGAGTATAAACTGTTTGTGCTTCTTTGCTCTTTATACTTAGGAGATGCTCAGTAAGTCCGAAGTGCTTTGTAAACTATCTTTCCCTAATCTCCAAGACTCTTTAGGTAGATTTTCACTGGTTACTGACAGGTGAGAAAGCTGTGGCCCTGAGTTGGCATAAGTACAGATGGACTTCTGGAACCATCTATACATCCTAACAACCAGGGAAACATCCCGAATACTCCCCAGTAGGGACAACTGGAAAGGAAGACTTTAAAAAGTGAGGCAAGGGGCAGCTTCCCTGATCCACCACGGAGGACTTTAGGAAGGAGGCTCCCTCAAATACGGGGCAACTCTGTTCTCTTCAGTGGATTGACATGCTGATATCTGAATCCTGTAGAGTTTTCACTGACAATTCATTCTATCAAGGAGCAGCAGCCAAGGGTGATTTACGCAGTGGAGAGGGGTGGGTCTAGGGACCACATAGTATGTACTTGTCAGCAAGAGCTGGGGCATTCTCATGATGTGGGGATATCTCTAGCATCGGTGCTCAAGGAGGGGAACAGAGAGGTTTCAACTACAGAAGCAGCAGCAGAGGCAGAGACTGTCTTCTTCCACCAGTCCAAAGTACCCTCTGGAAGCGAGGAGAGAGGAGAGTGACCCTCAAAGAGAGCAACATGAAGAACAGCCTGAAAGGACAACTGGATTGCTGAAAACCAGAGCAACACTAGCTCCCACATGAGCAACAGTTCAAGAAGTAGAGAAGGAAGCAAGAAAAAGTACCCTCTCATCCAGCTTATTTCAGAAGGCAAATCAAAGAATAACAAAGCCAGAAAGGAAATAGTTTAGAACCCAATTTGATTAACTGGAGCCCAGAAAACTCTAGGCTCTCACTGCCATTAAACTGCATGATGAGGACCTACAACTATGACTAGTGGTCATGCCCAGTGATCAGGGATGGCTGGGCCCTATTCTGATAGGACTGAGAAGTGAAGCAATCTGTAGCTGAATCTCCTCAATGTTCTACATTAAGGAGAGCAAGAAATGGCCCATTAATATGGATATGTACTAGATGTTCACAAACCAGGGTTCTAGTCCTGGTTCTGTCATTATCTCATCATGAAAAGTGACTATTTCATCATTTCTCCCACGTTTTTAAGTGAGAATAGCAACCATTTCTTCCTGGTATCCTCTCTGGGGATTTATATAGATTAAAGAGAACATCCAAAAAGTTGTCTGAATTCTTTAGGGATTATACATTTCTTGATGGCAGAATTGTATCTCCTCTTTCCACTTGGCATATAGTATGAGTACAATAGATAATTGTTGACTCATCAGATACCTAAAGAAGACTATTTATTTTTTTGAGTTTCTCATATGGACAGTTTGAGGCCTAGAAATCTTACTAACATTATTATAAGTCCCATTAAAAGAGGACTGGGGGCATGGCAAAAACAAATTTCAAAACTAGCAGGGGTGGATCTAAAAGGCAGATATTGCTAGAGGAAGGACATGAAGAAATAAAACTCAAAAGTCTAACAGTTACTTACATCCATGGAGTAATGCTCAATCTGATAGATGGTGGTCAGCCCCTGGGTCGTGAAATAGTCCAGACATGATGAACAGCCCAACCTTGCTAAGAAACTGCAGAGGGAAGAGGGAAGAGGAAGGAGGAAACAGAAAAAGAAAGTTCACCCCAACTGCATTGGCGAGATAAAGGAAAACCCAACATTTTGCCCTTGGATGCCCTACATTATAGACTAGGGTAAGATAAAATATATGTGGGCCTGGGATTTGAGGAGTGTAGATTATAAGTGACTTGAATTTTAGGTATGTAGAAAAGAAAAATCAGCAATAGGGATTCCAGAAGATCAGTTTTATTATTGTTGTTTTTTTTTATTTTTTCCAAATGGTGATCTGTGGAATGTGTACGTGCCTTAGGAACCATCGCAGAAGGTGAAAGGATGGAGTCAGTGGTCAGGTCCCCAGAATTCTTTTCTCCTCTGTCTTCAATACAAAAAGAGCATCTCAATCTAACTGCATTATATTCATGATTTTTGAGAATGCTGACATGATGAAGAAAAATTCTAAGTCACTACTCTGTAGAGTCATTATGTCATCCTTCAGAACATGGGACCCCTCCAATTTGTTGCTAGCCTGAGATTGATGACACTGCCATGATCATAGTTCCAGGTGCTTGGTGGGGTAAGCCATGCACTTTTCCATCTCCATGACTGACACTGCATGGGAATGAATATAAATCTTTCCCACAGCCAAATAAGAGAATCATCCTGTTCATGAAGCAGGTGCAGAAGCTGTGCAGTAGGCACAAAATTTGGGAAACTACCTCTGTGTAAAACATCTGTAAAGATCTGTGTAAAACAGATCTCTCAGGCTTTATGCATTTCTTTCCCTGTCTATATGAATTCCCCTTCTTGGACTGCACCCATTTCCCATATGCAAAACAGCAGAGGCCATCAAATTATTAAAAATTTACATCATTTTGCTAATATTTAAGTTTTTATGGACATCCAACTCCAAAATTATGGTCCCTTGGTGCCTGAGAGCTATGAGGCCTAGAGCGCAAGAAAGGGAGCAAGATAGCAAGTGTATTGCCCTTTTGGGAAACCCAGCCCTTGAGCACCAATTTGAGGGCCACAATTGACAGTGTAAGGAGGCAGGGAATAAGTGAAGATGGCAAGGCAGGCATGAAAACTCCATGTCTATAAACACACATTTTCACTTTTTCCCATGTTCATTATAGAAATTCTCCTTGATTAACATTGCTGACCACTCCATAAATCAGAGACAACAGGGGCTGAACTTCAACTACAGGGCTGCTTTCTTTTTTATCCAAATATTTTTTCAATTTTTACAGTGTCCACCCTCCACCAACCAGATATGCTTAGAACAGGCACCCAGGGGCACATGTTGAGGACTCACCTGACAATGCTGCAATCTGTGGGATACGGAGGTGGGGGGGTGCAGTGGGAGGTGGATGGCATGGAGAGTGGGGGAGGGAGGGCTTGGGTAGGGCTGAGTCCATTCATGTCTCCAGCCATTGGCATGTGGGTGCCCATCATAGGAACTGAACAGAAGCAGGAGGAATAGAGAGGGTTACTGCCATCATCACATACCAGAATCCCTGGAACCATCTTGTCTGGTTTAAGCTCAGGAAGGGACTCAGTTACCAGCTTCTCATTTCTGTCTTTTCTCTCATTATGCCCCCTTCAAGCCTCCTGCGTCTAGGTACACAGAATAGTCACTAGGCTCCAATATTAATTACATATTTCTTGGCCTCTGTACACCATCTGACAATCTCTTATCACTCCTTTCTCTAATTCTGTCTAATCACTCACTGTTCCACATGTTAACATATCCCTCCTTCTAGTTGCTTTCATGGTTTTATTTCTTCTCCCTCACTATACTAACCCCCTCAAGCATAGAAATCAGAAGGTACACATGTTTAGATCTCTACTGACACTAGCACAGTGCCTGGTACCCAACTAAGTGAACAAATGAACAAACTCATAAATGAAAGTGACCTTTGGAATATTTATTTGTGAATAGGAAGACACACTGAATATCTATAAGGAACAATACCCCTAATAAGGAAGGACAACATTAAAGATTCCAACTCTTTCTTATGGCCCACTTCATGGTTATATACAGAAAAATCACCAATACTCATTGGTACTTCCCTAAACCACAACTTATAAAGATTCACTGATACAGAAGAAATGTTTAACACTAACATTATTTAGTTTTCAGATAAAAAATAGTGAAGTAATGCATCTACAAAAAGATGATTGCATTTTGTTTTGTTTTGTTTTTCAGTGAATGGTAACGTACTCATTAGGAAAACCTCTGTCACTAACAAGCTAAGTAGAGAGCAAGAACCCTATCATATCTCATTTTGTTTACCCTCTGATTTTTCTGAGTACATCAAAGAATTGCAAAGTATTAATAGGCAAAAGCAGATAAGGAACACAATTGAAAAGAATCACCACCATTGTCACTATTATGTCATCCTTTATATCAGTTGAGGATTCTAAGATCTCACTAGAAGGAAAACAAAGGAGAACATGAATGATCCCTAGTCTTTCACTGTCAAAGTAGCAGACCTGTTGGGAGGTCAGGTTTTGGGACCTAGAATGTGTTTTTCACTAGTAAGAGAATAGTCTGACTCTAAAGTCTTTGTTGCCATATCAAGCAACCATAGGACATACAACTCTATCTCACTGAATTGTGAACATCTTTCACCAGACTACAGAAAGTCACAACCTAGCATCCTTTCTTTCAAAAAACCCATTCCATTCAAGGCAATGCTAATTTCTGATCAAGTCTTTGATAAAAAATAAGTAGGGATTTCAATGAACAAGAGGGAGGGGAGGAGACTACAGGATACCTGTTCAGTCTTCTGCATCCCTAAGGATATTATATATTCTTCTGAATTTTTACCATCCTTTTCTTGTCAAGTTTGGGTATACACTTTTCTAGATCTATTTTTAGTGGACAAGATAATTATATTTATAGCAAAGTTATATGCCAATCGTCATATATTTGAAGGCCCAATTTTCATACTTTTACACTTATACTTAGTTCATATGAGGAATTTGTGTGTGAATAAGTAAAAGGCAGACCTCTCTATAGATCAATTCGATACTGTGTGTGAGATACAGCAGATGAGTTCAGAAGGCAAAGATTGCAAGAGCATAGACTTATAAATGATTAAGTGGGCAGAGTGACAATTTTCCTAATGGAAAATTGAGCATTATAGCAAAGAAGTGACTAATTTTGCAATTGAGTACAGACTACAATTTGTCCCTAGATTTTAAGTCTACTATATTACGCTACTTCCTACACATTGGATACATTTCCTTTTGACTCTTTGTAAAGTTGCAGGAAGTGGACTGTTTCAGACAGCCTTATCCCCACTGAAGGAACAGTCTTCTCCATCTCTACTAGTGTGTTCTGTAAGGAACCATACACTTCAAGAGTAAGAAGGTAACTCTGAGAAACCCAAGCCACTCAAGTTTGTTTTGATTTGTCCCACCGTGCCTCTCACTTAGCTTAGCAACAACCCTTTTCCCCATTCAAGAGCAAAATTTTCAACTACACTAGCCCTGTTCATTCTTCAGTTGCAGCTAAAGGGGGATGCTCTTACTGTTGGCTCCCATGCCATCAGGAATGGTGGTGGGAGTGAGGGCGTTGCGCTGCTGAGGGTTGATAAGCTGGCTCACAGAAGGCAGCTTGTTCATGCTGTTCATTTTGTTCAGAGGTGGGGAGCTGTTACCGTATGAAGACTGAGACTGCATCGAGGTCCTAGGAACACAAACATGGGAATGATGATCAGCATGGGACACTGAAGAGTGGGCACTGGTCATTTCCAACAAGTCTCACAGTAAAATATGGCCTTGAATTGTACATTGCAAAATATTCCTCCAGAATTAATGTAAATTATATACATATATACTTGCTGTGTGCATTAGGTATTAGAGCATGGAAATCTAAAAGGAAATGGTTCCCATCTTCGAGATGCTCATAGAATAATGGATACAATGGAGACAGTAATCCATGCTACCCTGTAAGGCCATGATAAGAACTGAAAAACAGAAACTGAGAAAGAACTTTCTATACTACAAAGCATTAATACTATGTAATTACTGTGACCACAGAATGAAAGGTTAGCATGTTTCTAACCTTTGATGGGAAAAACTCCCTTTAACAATCATCAAACAAGACATAATATTTTATTCCTATTTGCCTTTTTTCTGTTACCATATTTGAAGGACAAATAAACTGCCTTCTTTCAGTTTTATTTTCATAGGATTCAAATTTTGAATGTTCTGTAAATGAACCTAGGTCACAAGAAAACATGGAAAAATAATTTAAAAAATAAAGGAATGTTTAAAAGAGGTACAGTTGTAGGGTTGATCTTTGAAGCTGCCACTGTGTCCTCTCCAAAATTACATGGAATCAGGGAAGCCTCTATTCTATCCCTCTGAAGAGCTATAGCTAAGGGAATGTAAGCAATATACTGTACAACATTTGAATAAATTAGCATGACAAGGTGTAATGTATGATGTACACTTCTGGTGCATTTTTACCACGACAGCTTGTAAAGTAGTAGGGCACTGTTTTCCTCTTTAGTACTTCTCAAGCACTCACAATCATAGATCCAAATTGTAAAAACAGAGGTTTATAGGATTATAAACACTTCAGGTTACAGTCTCTCTTTCACACATGATCTGAATGACTGTCACAACCGCCTGTGGAACAGATCATGGTATAGTAGGGCATGATGGGTAGAGATCATTATTCCTATTATGCAGATGAGTAACTATAAGTCTCTGAGAAATAAGTGTGCCCAAGATCATAAATTGCTAAATGGATAATTGAGGGTACAATTAGGTCTCCTGGTATCTAATCCAAGAGTTTTATATTTCACTCTGTGGCACTTTCCCAGAAATAAGACAGTGATGGAAAATAGGTTACAGGATAAAAAATGAGTGAAGGGGTAAAAGAAATGTGAGAAACTGAAAAAGAGTAAGGAGTGAGAAATTTGATAAAGGGGTCACCCAGCTATTAGAAAACACTTCCAAACCCACTCTATCCCTGTACAGGAGCCTTGCATTGGAGTCAGAACATTTGGATCTACTTAGGAAGATCCATAAGTCTCTATTAAATATAGCAAAACACAGGGCAATGTAGCAAAAAGAAGTTTTGCTAGCAGCTTTTTCTTCACCTGTCTTTGCCATTGCACAGTACCTAAGATGCTGAATAGCCCGTTTTTCAGATCTAAGTTGCTCTTCTGTTACCTAGAGACCTTCAGCAATATGTCCTAATCCCCGAAGCCATTTGAACATAAGGTAAGGGCTAAAGGAAAGCGTCACTTGAACTGCTGATGTTCACAATCAGGAAAATAAGGATACACTTTCAAGCTCTGGACTTTCCATGCATCCTCAGTTATCATAAATATCTTCTTCTAAATCCTGTTATAATTTCCTTCTCTCTTTCCCTTATGGTCATTATTTTGATTTGACTAATTTGTTAGTTAATTTATTGTTTTTCATCAAAAGCCACTTAATTTAAAGAGGCTAGGTCAGAAACCACAGACGAACAACAAAGAAATATAGATTTTGGAGCCAATCAAACCATCTGGGCCACCTTTTGGGTCTGATACAAATTAATTATGTGACTTGGGCTATTATGCAAGTCTCTTGGATCTCACTTTCTTAATCTATAGAACAGGCATGACATTTGCTCTGGAAGTTTTTCTAGGAAGATTAAATGAGATAATGTAAGAGTCCTGCATGTTGGCCGGTGCCATGGCTCAATAGGCTAATCCTCTGCCTGTGGCGCCGGCACACCGGGTTCTAGTCCCGGTCGGGTCACTGGATTCTGTCCTGGTTGCCCCTCTTCCAGGCCAGCTCTCTGCTATGGCCCAAGTGCTTAGGCCCTGCACCCACATGGGAGACCAGGAGAAGCACCTGGCTCCTGCCTTCGGATCACGGCGGCCATTGGAGGGTGAACCAACGGCAAAAGGAAGACCTTTCTCTCTGTCTGTCTCTCTCACTGTCCGCTCTACCTGTCAAAAAAAAAAAAAAAAAAAGAGTCCTGCATGTTGCCCAGTGACTTCTAGGTATGCAAGAAGGTTTGCCTTCACTCTTACCTCCAGCTCCAAATCTTGAACATTCTAGTATGTGGTTAAGGGGATGGAAGGTTCTAATTCAAGAATTAATAGGAAAAGTATCCAGAGGGGATATCAATTATTAACTGGACAAACTTAGAAATTAGGACAAGCAAATGACTGGGGATAAGGGAATCTAAAAAGGTCAGAAAATCTGAATGCATCTCCTTTAATGGAGAAGTGAGTCTTCAAACTACAAGGAGAGAGATCAAGGTAGTCTGTTTATTATTAAAGTCACAATGTCTGAAACAGAAGGAACATTCTGACAGCCTCTGCACATTGAGGAAAAGGAAATGAGACTAAATAAATTCAGGGCCAATCTAAGGACCGTGTAGGACAACCATATCCTCCCACTCCCCAAGTACAGACCTAATGCCATGGTCCTTGGATAGACAGTCTCAAGGATTTCTGGGGAAACTGAAGAGAGGGAAAATGTGTCTAGAACAACAAGATCTGTGCAGTTGAGCTTTTCTTAACTAGCCCCCATCGGAAACCAAAATCAAAATCCAGAAATTGAGAACACAATGCTCCTCAGGAAAGATGACAACGTGCATACCCAGGGTTGTTTCCTTTAGATGCTCACTAGATTCTTCTGGGAATCCAAGGGACTGGATGTAGAAAGGCATATGTCATGAATTTTTAGTTTTGAGGAGAAATCCAGGTGAAGGGAATTCCTAGTTCTTAACTCCAACAATGTAAGCATCTATGTGCATTGTTTAGAATACCATTTCGAATTTCAGGGCTGTTGGTGTCAGATCCCCTGAGATTAGAAATCAGGTTTCCTGATTTGAGCTCTAGTGACTACAGTGTAAAACGTCAAAATTCCTAAGACACAAATTACTCTCTCCACCTACCAGATGCCGAGGATTCCACTATACCTTTTTTTCCTCCTTTGTAGTTAAATCTTCCACTGCTAATTTTAAAAGCAACTCTTGAGTAGAATTTAAAAATACTTCAGGCTAAATCTATTCTAATAAACCATTTCTGAAGTATGTAAAATTTGAGGGGGGGAGGAGATATTGAAGATAAAACAGAACATCTCTTGTATGAGGAAGGCCAAAGGCAAAAAAGAAAAGAAAAAGAAAAAAGGGAAGGCATGAAATATAAGAAAAGTAATTGTACCTCCACTAAAAAAACTTTCGGAAAAAAAGCAAATGTTAAATACCTAAATACACACCAACCCTTTAAGGGCTTTGCAAATCAAAGTGATTAGACTAATTGAAAACACTTTGCAAAAGTAAAAAGAGCATATGATCACCTGATTTTACTAATATATTTTTATCTCAAACATAAAAATGTTTTCTTAAGTATTTATCAAATCTATGAGATCAATTATTTTAACTTCAGACATATTCTAGTAAAGCTTTTGAAAACAATAACTCAGAGCACAGAACATACTATAAATAAAAACAAAAAGTAAATTGGACAACAGGTTTCACCAAGGGTTTTTGGCTAAATATTTGCTAATGCCTACATCATAGAAGCCAAATTATTTAATAGATTTGGATTTGATTTAAATTCATTTTAGCAAATTTGGCAACATAAGCTACAACTTGAGAGTTTTTCAAAGATGTCAATAAGTAGTATAATAGTGTCCAGCTCCCCATATCAAAATTAAACCCTATTACATCTAAAATATATTTTTAAATTAGTCTAACCATTGTATTGAATTTTTAGGATAACTTTGATGCAGTGTGTATTAAATAAAACACAAAATAATGCTGAAGAAATATAGACAGGACCAAAGCGACTGTTTTGTTACTCTTGCTTTTTGACTTATGCATGGCATTTCAAGCATTTACAGTAAGATAGTCTAGTAATTCAGAGTGGGGGAGGGGAAGCAAGAGAGACAGAAACAAAAAACGGTAAGATAAACCAAGATGCAAAAGTTTATTGAAAATTTAAATCACACATCCATTAAAGCAACAGCCTCAATAACAAGATATCATTGTCTCGGTGATACAGAGTGAATCGATTTGGTGGGGAAAGACTGGGGTGGAGAACCTGGAGAAACGCATGTGAACAATGTCAGAAAAATGGCTGGTTTCACGGTGGGTAGCATTGAGGGCTAGATGCTCCAGATTCGTCACAGATTCAGTGAGAGGTCTTTGAACTCCATTTGGGGCACTTAGTAATGGAAAAACTGCCTGGGACAACATGACTGGGGTGGTTTTATATCTTCCTACTGAAACCACAATTTTAGCATACTGACCTTGGGGTGTACACAACAGTTTTGGGATAGGTCTCCAGGGTTTCATGCGCAAGAAGACTCTATCATATCAGATATACTGACATATGGTGGCAGAGACAGGGTCTCACAGAGCACTACTGAGCTTTGTAGCTCCCTGCGAGGGAAGGATAATCATAATGCAAGTTCTCAAAAAAGAAAAAACACCCTATCCTCCCCAAAGTGGCTACATGTGGTGATTGTCACCTCTCTGCCCAGCAGTACACTGGACACCTTAGTTTGGTACTATTTGCAATATTGCTGCATGACCAGCATTCAAAGGGCCTGAGTCTCTCAATCACCTACAATCTACTTTTGCATAGACAATAACAACGTTTTTCTCTTTTTCTTAAAAACATTTCGTAAGTTTGAGACCTGCTCAAAAGCTTCTTTATGAGTTTTAGA